TATGTGGGGCAGAGACAGTGCCACTCTGCTCCACCCCAAAACCCCATGAGGCAAGCAACTGACCCTGACCCTTCCTGCACCTGGGCCCAGGCCCCCTCCAGGGGCACAAGGCAGCAGCAGTCATGGAGAGAGGAGACAGGGGGAGGCCGAATAGAGCCTGGTGTGCAGGGGGTGGGGCAGCAGGTAGCCGAGAACCTGACCCAGGGAAGCGGGCAGGTGGCAGGAGATGGGACCATGTGCGAACCAAGGCTCTGAGCCCTTGGCCCATGCTTACTGGTTCCATTGAACTCTCCTGCCAAACACAAATTCAAGGGTAAAATTATTAAGAATCTCAAGATGGGGACATCAGAGCACTACATTCCAAGGACAGTCACCCTTCCAAGTATGGGGCCAGGTGTTTCTGTGCTGGTGGCACCGCCATGGAGCCAGCCCCGCCCCACACCTGCTTTAACAAGAGAGGATGGAGGCCGGTGGAGGCCACCAGGGGGCAGCAAGGACCAAGGAACTGACCTCCTCCTCCTCTGCCCCTTCCACTGGTCAGTGCCCTTGGCTTGTCAATAAACCTCTAGGAAAGGGGTGGGATTTTGTTACCGACACTTAGGCAAGTTAACCACAAGAGCAGCTGAGCATCGCCTGGACTTCACCTATCACGTCATCTGCACCTCAGTCCACCGTGGGGTGCAGGGTACTTCTCTTATCCGTCTTTCATCGGGGAGGAAACTGAGGCCCGGAGAGGTCAAGTAACTTGCCCACCGTCACACAGCTCTGAATTGGCAAAGGCAGGATCGGACCAGCCAGGGTGAGTGCAGAGCCCTAGCTCCGCGGAGTCTCGCTGTTCTGAGCTGTAACAGATGGTGAGCAAATAGTAGGCAAGGGTGGTTAGGGGTCAGGTTCAAATCCACCTGTGCGCGGTCGTGGGACGTCAAGGGCAAATTGCCCACCGTCACACAGCTCTGAATTGGCAAAGGCAGGATCGGACCAGCCAGGGTGAGTGCGGAGCCCTAGCTCCGCGGAGTCTCGCTGTTCTGAGCTGTAAAAGATGGTGAGCAAATAGTAGGCAAGGGTGGTTAGGGGTCAGGTTCAAATCCACCTGTGCGCGGTCGTGGGACGTCAAGGGCAAGTCCTACGCAGCGTCATCGGGCTGCGGTGAGGTTCCAATGACGACATGCCTCCCTCGCGGAGGGCCTCAAAAACTTGCTGGGGTTTTGTCTGTTTTTTTTGTTTTGTTTTGTGTTTTAATTAATAAGCTTCATGGGAAAATAATGTCAGAAAGGTTCTTCAACAGGATGCTCCTTCAAAAACAAACATTCATTTTGTGACCGCCCACATGGTGCCAGGTGCTGGGGCGGGGGATGGGATTTCCGGTGGTTTTTCACTTTCCTCTTTGTACCTTTAGGTTTTCTCTGAATCCAAGGTCTGCTCGTGCCAATTTAGTAATCAGAAAAAAGCAATAAACAGCTTTTGCTAAAATAATAATAATAATAATAATAATAATAATAATAATAATAATAATAATAATAATAATAATAAGACAGACGCACTCCCGTCCCCCCCGCATCTTTGTAAAAGTGGGACTGAGGGGGTGCAGTATCAGGGAGGGGGATCCCGTAATTAATGCCTGTGGAGGTCTCCTGGGATCTCCCGAGGCCTTCCTCAGGGGCTCGGGCCACTCCCTGCCCACTCTGGCGCTGCTACCCAGGGGGCATCCCCTCCTGCCCTCTGCACCTCTGGTCCTGCACGGGTGGGGTGCGTCTCCCTCTGCCCCAGGCCCTCCCAGCCTACTTCCAGCGGGGTCGTTGTGCCCACCTGATCCACCAGGTCCCCCCTACCCTTCTGTGGCTTTGGGGGCAAACTTTTGGTGCAGTCTGTTCCTCTTCTCCTTTCTTCTTCCGTCTTTCTAGATCTTTCCCTCTGCTCTTCATGCTGAGGCAATTGATAAAGATATATTGGAGTAAAGTTTAAACGTTAATAAATAATTCAAATAAATGTAAATGTTCATTAACTACAATTAAGTAAAATTCAGTTGCTCAGTTGTTTCAAGTACTAGTAGCTATCTTATCAAAAAACATAAAAATTTCCGTCATAGCAAAAAGTTCTGTTGGACAGAGCTATTCTAGATATTCTTTGTTTTGGCGGTTGGTGGGTAGTGGGATCTGAACCCTTGACCTTGGTGGTGTAACAATGCACTTTAACCAACTGAGCTCACTGGTCAGCCCTAGACATTCATTTGCCTAAGTATAAAATTCCTTCCTAAGATTGTTCTTTGAACCAGTGTTCTTTCTTTTTTTCTGATTCCCTTTCTGCAAATTTAAAATAAAACTTTAATTCATACTTATAATCTGAGAAATTTTTGGCTTTACCAATTGCCTCTCAGGGAGAAGTTGCTCACTAAATACGTGGATGAAGAGTGAATCGCTAGGTCTGCTGCCAGGAAATGCCCAGGAAGGGGCAGGCAAAAGCCAGAGAGTCTGGGGACTGAGGGAGGCACAGGCTGGGGGGCTCCCATGTCAAGAGTAACCAAAGGAGTCAGGAGCCATCAGAGACCATGCCAGGGAGGCGTGGAGGAAGTCCAGAACAGTGGCCAGGCCTGAGCGTTCTAGATTTCTAAGCTGTTTGTACCTTTTTTCTCTTGCCCCCTGTGCCTCAGCCAGGTTGGAGGAAACCCAAGAGAGAATGAAGATGGTGCTAATAAGGACTATCTTCAGGAAAACCCTGTAATGCAGATTTTATTATCTTTCCTAGTTTACTAAAGCACAGGCACAGAGACAAAACTAAAGACATGGCACAGAGAACCTGTCTTAGTCCGTTTTGTGCTGTTGTAATGCAATACCACAGACGGGGTAATTTATAATGAATCTAAATTTACTTGGCTCATGGTTCTGGAGGCTGGGAAGTTCAAGATCAAGGGGGTTGCATTTGGTAAGGGCATTCTTGCTGCATCACAGCATGGGAGAAGGCACACATGGTGTGCACGCATGCGCACGCGAGAGAACTATAGATGCTATTCCTGCAATAACGGCTTTAATCCATCCATGAAGACAGAGCCCTCATGACCTAATCACGTTTTGCAGCTCGCACCTCTCAACTCTGTTACATTGGGGATTAAGTTTCCAGCACACGAACTTTGGAAGACACACTCAGACCACAGCAAAACCGGAGAAGTGGAGACTAGTGCATGGGAGGCCGAGTTTGTCAAGGAAGACCCTGGCAGCCATCCGTTCTCCATGTAAATCAGATCGTTCCTGGTGGGAGTCAATTCACTCCAGAGTGGGAATATCAGTAATGAGGATTTAAACCACCCCAGTTGCTGTTGCCAGGAGGAACGTTAGTCCTCTGCTTCTGCAAGGTGGGAGGCAGTTTTGTTGAGGAACGCTTCTGGTGGCACCACTTTCCCTCATTGGCTCCTGATGATGGGCGGGTTACACTTCGGGACTGGGGAGGTGGAGGAGAGACTGGTTTCTACTGGACCAGGTTTCTCAGTGGATGGGGCTAAGGTGCAGAATGCTCTTCCCCCAGTCCCAGCAGGCTCCTTCCAGTCATTGAGGGCTCAGCTCCAATGTCACCTCCTCGAAGATGTCCCTGAGCACCTGTTAGCTCCTCCTGTCTCAGATCCTGATTCGCTTTCTTCATAGCACCCTTCAGTGTTTGCACCTTTTGTCTGTTTATGGCCTGTCTCCCCCACTGACAGGAGGGAAGGGACCCTCTTTGCCTCTCCCACAGGTGTGTCCTCAGCGCCCAACACAGTGCCTGGTGCACAGCAGGTGCTCAGTAAATATCGGTGGGGTGTGTGGCTTCCCTGCCTCTGTATCCTGCTGCCCTGCAGTAAGCTGGGGAAGCAGGAAGAATGGCCGGTCTTTCTCCTGAGCCTGGGAGGGTGGGTTTAAAGGAGGTGGGAGGTGTCTCTGTCTAGGTGACTTCCCAAAGTCCAGCCAGGTCAGTAGTATGAACCTCAGCTGAAAATTTGGGTTTCTTTCTCATAAGATCCTGGGGAGAGAACAAATCCGGCCTCAATGCTGTGTTGGGCTCCCAGTCCAACCGCCTCTCCATCACTCACACAAACACATCTTCCCTGTTTGCTGCTTAATTTTCAAATTTGATTTACTGAGACAGTGCTCAGGCAAAGCGGGTTAGAGCTGACATGTCATACATGAGATGGCATATCATGGTGGCTGGGAGCTCTGCAGTCAGACCTGGGTTCAAATCTTGACTCCAGGATTGCCCGGCTGTGTGGCCTGAGGCGAATCCTCAACCTCTCTGGCCCTGCTTCCTCATCTGTAAAATTGGAGTAATAACTGAACTTACTTACTAGAGCTGTTAGGAGACATACATGACGCCGTGGCCATACAGTTAAGGTCCCCTGCCTGCCCATCTGAGGCTCGCTTTATCACTCGGTCAGCCTGGAATACCAAGCACGAATCATCTACAGAGTGCCTGGGTGATGGAGACACTGTCTGGACTCAGCTATGGGCTTGCCACTAGCTATCTGTGTGACCTCGACAAAGCCCAGCAGCCGCTGTCGCCCCACCCATATCTCTTCGATGTGCCAAAATCTCCTCAAACACCTCCAACTCCCAGTCTGAGGCTATTTTTCCTGGAGCAGCTCAACATGCCCCCAGTAGCCGCCCTCAACTAATGACAGATGGGAGCTGGAGGCCCTCAGTTCCCTCCCCTTTCAGGGACAGCTCTGGGCATGCACTTTGCATGGTCTTCCAGAGTTCCTGGGGGCAGGATAAAGGGGCAGTTGCCCACCTGGCAATCTGATAATACACCTTTGCTGTGTCCTGCCCCTTTCTCACTCACACTTCCCCATGCCCCTTTGCAGAGTCTCCTGGGATCACCTCCTAAATCAACTAATTGCTCTTGAATCCTTGTCTTGGGGAACCCAGAGACAGCAAGTTACTCCTGTGCCCTGGTTCCTTTTGAGGGGAGGCGTCAATGAGTGATAGGGATAAGGCCATCACAATGTTGCCTGGCAGTATGTGTGTTTAATAAATGAAAAATAAAGAGAAAGAACCTTTATTTATGCAAAACTCCACCCCCTCCTATTCCACCCTCCTCAGCAAACAGATACCAGGTGATACAACAATCAAGACACATACAAACAAGCATTACAAAACTAAGGTCCATGCTTTCCCAGCACCCAAGGTCTGGCCCAACATGCAGGGTAAATGGTGCTGCTGTCTGCGGTCTGGGTTGTCCCGCCCTGGCTGAGCACGGAATATGAGCCCTTCCCCTATGGTTTCGCAGTGGCTTCCAGCAAGTGTCCACTGAGACTGGCCGCAAGTCAGCTGGGCTTGTTTGTTCTGGGGATCTCATGTTTAACAGGAGCCTGCAGCCTTACAGCTGTATGTGGGTGCCTGGCAGCAAATGTCACTGCTTTGGTTAGTACCATTTTTCATGTCCTTCCCTGTTGCTCCCACTTGACCGAGCACCCCATGACTGCCCAGATTCTGCCTCCAGCATCAACCCAAGGAAGCTCTACTAAATGAATGGGCACCTCTGGGCAAATGACCACCCTCCCTGAATGTCCATTTCTCATCTATTTCCCCAGGCCTCCCAAGTCATTTCCTGGTTAGCTTTATTAGTTTCCAGGCCCAGCTGCCAATTCAGTGAGATGGAGGCTGGTGTGAGACTGGGCAACGATGACTTGGTGAACATAACACACCTCGGGCAGGTATGACGGGACAGTGTGCTGGAGAAAGTGGGGGGTGGGGTGGCCAACAACTCATTCACAAGCTGAGGTGTCCCAGGACCTCGGGATCCTTGCAGGTGCCTGCCATGAGGCATGGCTGCCTCCAAATCCCATGAGATGTGGCGAGCCCAGGCCAGTGCTGGGGGAGGAGTCCAGTCTCCATAGCCCCAGTGTAGGTCCACCTTCACACCTTCATACCACAGTTCTCTGAATATCTTGGAAATCTGCCAGTCTGGCTGCCTTCCAGAAGGAGGCATTTCCCAGGCATGGATAAGCCCCAGTCCTCACCTGTAGACCTCAGCAACGAGAGGACATGTACCTAGGAGACCCTCGTACACGTGGGCACTGTGGAGACCAGGTCCACTATTTTGGGAGTCTGACTTGAGCTCTGAGCATTGCTGGGGGAAGGTTGGAAGGACAGTGAGGACTTACTCTCCTCTGAGATGCCCAAGGGTACCAAGAGAGCTGGAGAGAGGCTGGCCTCTAGTGGAACCCCACCTGGAAAGGGGTCCGGGGCCCTGAGGGGGCTCCTCGGGGGTGAGGACCTGTCTCCACAACAGCAGCCACAGCAGGGGCTAGCCATGACATGGGCCTGGCCACCCTCCTCCTGGCCATGACACTGCTTCAGGTGGCCACACAGGTGGCAGGTGAGGGCTGAGTAGACGATGCCGCTGCCCAGGTCGTCCCTGAGGGGGTCTGTGATCTGTTCTGGCACAAACGGGGGCTTCTGCCTGTCCTCCCCCTTTCCTGCTAGCTCCAGATTGAGGTGCTCTGGGAAGCTGCTTGGGAGGGGTGAGTGCTGAGGGCTGTGGGGTGGCTCCACATCCAGTCCAAAGGTGAACAGGGGGACGGGGACTGGGGCAGGGTCCCTGGAGCAGGTAGGAATGAGGCTCTGGAAGGGCTTATAGCCCCCATCACCACTGCTGGCCCCAAGTCCAGATTTCCCCGTGGACACAGTGCTGCTGGCAGGCGGACTCAAGAAGGCCTTGTACCCGGCCTCTCCGGAAGATTCGCAGCCTGCCACCCCACTATCCTGGGCGCTGCTGTGCTTTACCGCGTGTACGAACTCCCGATAGCTGCTGGCGGGGGCTGAGGCGGGGGCCGTGGCCACTCTGTGCTGGAGGACACTCTGGCGGAGGATCTGCTCCCAGGTTTCTGGCTCAGGCTGGGGCTCTGTGGTCAGCTCAGAGGGCTGGGGGGCACAGGGGGTGTTGGGGTACACTTCCTCCAGGCATTCGGCCAGCTGCAGGTCTGGGTCAAACTCTCCGGGACTTGGGGACTGGCTCGGGAAGTTGCTGAAGCTGCGGTAGGCGGGGTTGTCTGTGGTGATGATGGGCATCTCTGTGCAAACCAGGGTGGCTGGGCCCTGGCTCCAGCTGGCCGCAGGACTGGGCTCCAGGCTGAAAGGCTGCTCCATGCCCTGGGAACATGCCTCCTTGGGCCTCGCACTTGGGCACTCAGCCCAGAGCATCTCAGCACTCATGCTTCCTGAAGGTGGAAGAAGACACGACTTCCTCATGCCCTGCTGGCAAAAGCCCCCAGCTGAACCCCCGAGCAGGTCCAGGAACAGGCTCTCTGTCATCCGGGCCACAATGCCCTCCCTGCCCTCCTGGAAGGTGCTCCCACTGCTCTCTGGGGATGCGCAGAAGCTTCCTTTATCTTCCTCCATTTCCTCCTCACTCTCCACTGGCACCTCCAACAACTCCACGCACCGCTCCACGCTGATGATCTCTGGCCAGAGGACTGTCCTGCTGAGCTCCACAGGGTGCCATGCTGATTTTCCAGTGGTCTTAAAAGGCCCATTTCTGGCAGCTGTAGGGGGATCCTCGCCCCTTTTCATGTCATGCCCCAGCAAACAAGGCAGCAGCTTGGTAAGGCAAGTCTTCCAGTGTCTGCAAAAGCAAAAAAAAGTTTGGTCACAGTTCAGTTTCTATACTTGAAAAACTCCTATTCATGCTTCAAAACCCAGCTTGAAATCACCCTGTACTGATGTCTGTCTATTGCAGACATGCTTCCTGACTTTTATCATCAATCATATATCAGTCTGTCTTCACTTCTAGACTGGGAATTCCTTGAAGGCAGGGCCTGTGTCTGTCTTTGGGATTTCTGAAGCCCAGCATATGGGCTGGCTCCTAATATAAACTCAGTACATTGAACAAGGAAATGTCTTGATCAGGGATGATGATATTTAAAAGTGACATCTTACCATAAGCCATGACCAGTTAGAATGGATGTGGGGTCCCAAGGCTGAGGCAGGGTCCTGGAGCCCCTGCTGTGCCAGGTATAAACCCTCTACTCACTGAATTATAGGTAGGTCCAGGAGGCTAGAGAGGCGGCGGCATACTTGAGTATTTGGGATAGTAGCTATTTGCCAGTGAATATTCAATTAGGTCAATATTTTAACAACTGGCCCAGCTGCCCCGGTTGTTAACTGCATCTGCCTAGCTCAGGCCAGGCTGGGCACTCCCAAGGGTGCTCAACTTGTGCCTGACCCACCAGTGAAACTCTGGGGGCTTGGCCAGCAGCCCTCCTACCCAGGCCACCCTTCCTCCTGCCACCCCTCAAAGCCTAATATCACAGGGACAACTGCCAAGTACAAGGGAAGAGAAGGCAGATGGGGTGGGCATGTGACCCTACTATCAAGGTGGGCCCACCGCTCCAGTTCTATCACCTTCCAAATCCACACAGGTATGACCCAAGTTCAGATACATACGGGCACTTGGCTGGTTCCTGGGCTCGGGACTGCCTCTTCCACAGTGACACCTAAAATAGAGAGACAGTGCATGAAACAGAGAGGAGTGGCTTTCCAGCCTAGCCCGGCAAACAGCAATGCTCAGGAAACATTTGCCGTGGAAAGGGTGTGAGTCTTAACATGACACAGGTCCGAGGTCCAGACAGGTCACTTATGCTCTCTGAGCCTCAGTGTCCTGGGAATTAATGAGACTATCCTAATAGTAACAGTGACTGTGATCAATGGCAAAAATGGCCACAGTGCTCTGCAGCTCCTCTACCCCTGGAATCTAACCTGGCTGTGGGACTTGATTTGACCAGTAGAATGTGGTGAAAGTGACACCATGCCAGTGCTGGGCCAATGACTCAAGAGGCCCTGTGACTCTCCACCCTTGAGAACTAGCTGGGTCACTCTGTGCATATGTCTGAGCCAGCCTGCTGCAGGCTGAGATGCACACGGCTCAGTCACCTCCACTGCCCCAGTGACTGCCACACCTGTGGGTGAGGCCATGGGGACTGCCAGTTCAGCCCAAATTGCAGACCTGTGGAAGCATTGGCTACAACCCTCTAAATTTGGGGGCAATTCGTTGTGTTGCAAAAGCTAAAATGCACAAATGCTCTTAGTATGTACAGGACTCTGTAACACACTTGAGATGTATCATCTCAGTGAGTTCAACATCAGCCCTAACAGGTGAACCCCGTTATAGCCCACATGAGGAAACTGAGGCTCAGAGACATTAAACAATGTGCTCCAGACCAGGCTGCAGGTAAGTGGCAGAGCCAGGATTTGAAGTCAGCACCACTGGGTTCCAGAGCCTGCTAGAGAGGCCTGGAGGATCAAGGACCCTCAAATGTTCTCACCTAGACAGGGCCTGTGTCCCCAAACCCCCTCCTAGACAGCCCTGATGCTGCTCAGGCGAGCCCCTCCCACCCCCCCACACGGCTGTCTTGGCATTCCCGCTGCCTTCCTGGGGACTGGTTTAGTAAAGAGCATGGGACGCAATTCAAGCCTATGAGACTGGAGGAGAGATTTGCTGGGGCTTCGGGGGCGGTTTCCCGCTCTTGAGAGGAAGACACAGCAAGGCTGTCACCCTCTCCCTCTCCTTCTGGCTTCCTGCCATGGTGCAGGCACCTCCCCAGGAAAGGAGAGAAAAAGCAAGAGACCAACCCCAGTGCATCCCGTCCCAGGCTGCAACAGTAGCCATGGAAGCCGTGGGGAGGGGAGCGAAAGCCTCTGGGCTCCTAATGACGATGTTAACCTGCTGAACCAACCGGCCCTGAGACCTTCCTGACTGTGCATTTGCTGTTCCAAAAGCCAGCGAATATCCTTCACATTCTAGATGTCTGAACCTCGTCTCCTGACACCCGCAGCCCTCACACTCTCCTACCTGAGAGTCCTGGATGACAATGGCCATGACGGGGCTGTGGGCTGGGGTGGGAATCCGGTCCCACCACTCCTTCTTAATCCTAAAAAACAACAGAAAAAGGTGCTGGTCTCCGAATCATTGACAGGTTAGTGAGTGCTCCTCCTATAGATACTGTCATAGTCACTGACACTTAACAGGTGTCAGAGACCAGGCTGATTAGTTTTCGGGTGTCAAACCACTGAATCTGCACCCTAAACTGGTGAAATGGATTCTACTGCGAACACCATTCTACAGGCGAGGAAGCTGAGGCCCAAAGACGTGAAGTGACAGGACAGGTGTCAGAGACCAGGCTGATTAGTTTTCGGGTGTCAAACCACTGAATCTGCACCCTAACCTGGTGAAATGGATTCTACTGCGAACACCATTCTACAGGCGAGGAAGCTGAGGCCCAAAGACGTGAAGTGACAGCTGGTAGGGGCCAGAGCCGGGTTCACAGGTCAGCCAGCATTCTGCTATCCAGAGGGGAGTTCCTGATGAAGCCACCTTGGTCCCCAGTGGGAACAAGCCCACAGGGAATTAGGAGAGACTCAGCTGCAGAGACAGAGCTCTCGGTTCCCCTCAACAAGCCCCTCTGGGGAGGCCCAGGGCTCTCTGTTCCATACAAGCTATTTCTCTTCCATTCCCCAGGTCCATGGTAGAATCTAATCAATTAGAACCTTCTCACACACTAAGTGCCTGGCTCCACTGTGTGCCTGGCTCTGTAACGGGCACTAGAGACACAGACACAGAGTGACTTGTGATCAGGGACTGAGGGCAGTGGGGCAGCTCTGGTGAGTCTGGAGAAAGGGCTTTCCAGGCAAGAGCACAGCACATGCAAAGACCCTGAGGCAGGACCATGCCTGGTGCATTCAAAGAACTGCAAGGAGGCTGGAGGGCTGGGATGTAGGGAGAGGGGATGGGAAGGACAGGAAATGGGAAAACTGAGGCTCAGAGCAGGTGAGAAGACCAGCCTGGGGTCACTCTGAGGCATCAGTGACAAGACGTGGAGGGGGACCTGCATTCCTGATATGGAGGGGAACCTGCATTCCTGCATACCTAATATGTGCTCGGCCCAGGGTGGGCACTCTGCTCATGTCAATCCTCAGCCACCTCTGATCTTGATTCGGTGAGACAGGGCTTGCTAGTCCCATTCCAGAAATGGGAAGACTGAGGCTCTGGGATACCATGATTCCAAGGGCTAGAACTCAATCCTCAGCCACCTCTGATCTTGATTCGGTGAGACAGGGCTTGCTAGTCCCATTCCAGAGATGGGAAGACTGAGGCTCTGGGATACCATGATTCCAAGGGCTAGAAACCACCAGAAACAAGGCTCCTTCTACCACCTCCCAGCCCTCCCCCACCCTTCACTGTGATTTGGCCTCTTACGGCTGATGAAACATGTTCTCACAGTTACTCTCAACCTACAAAGGATGGGCTGAGGCTCAGGGGGCTTCAGCAACTTGTCAGTCATCAGCTACCATGTGCCAAGACCAGGATTTGAACCCAGGTCTTCTGACCCCATCAGGGCAATTGTCTCAAGTTCCTCTGGCTCCTGCCATGTGCCCCCAAGTGCCTGGCTCATACCCCAGGCACCCAAGGTGATAAGGGGACACTCCATTCCCTTCCCCCAAACCTCCCCCTGCTCATTCTCCCCAGCCAGGTCCCAGCTCAAACACCCCCCACCCCCAGAGAGCCCTGCCCTGGCCTCCCATCCAAGAGTACCCGAGAACATTCCTCCCTTTGCCTTGGTCTATTTACTTCAGAGCACGGGTCACTGTGGAAAATCATCTCTTACTGGTTGACATGGCACTTCCTGTCTCCTCACTAGGATGCATGCTTTAGGAACACAGGGTCCTGGTTGGTTTTGTTCTCAGCTGTAGTCTCAGTGTTTGGTATATAGTAGCTGCTCAATAAATATGAATCACTGAATAAAGGACTGCGAGTGGACAGATCCAACAGGGCATTCCCTCCCACTCCACGCGGCAGAGGTGCTGGCTGGCAGCATCCCGTGCCGAAGCCCAGGACTTACTTGACGATGCTGAAATAGCAGGACAGGCAGATGACCAGGATGATGATGCAGGAGATGCTGACACCCACCAGGAGGCGCTGCTTCAAGGGCCACGTGTAGGCTGCAGGTGAGAGGGGAAGCCATGAGCCTTCACGGGGCCACTGTACAGCCTGGGGACCCTGCTCCCAGACCCTTCATGATCTGGCCATGGACAGCCCCTCCCACCTCATCTCCCCCTACTCTCCCTCTTGCACATGGAGCCCTTGCCACACTGGCCCCTCACTGTCCCCTGCTCCTCCAAAGCTCAGTGCCACCTCAGTATCTTGAACTTGCTGCTCTCTCTTTCCAGAAGCAAAGAGGTCAAGTGTACCAACTCAGAAGCTGGACTGCTGGAGTTTGAGGCCTGACTCTGTCACATCCTTGCCAAGTGACCCAGGACAGGTCCCTTACCCTCTCTGTGCCTCAGTGTGCTCATCTGTACAATGGGGTTAATAACAGTACATATTCCACAGGGCTGTTGTGAGGATTACACAATTTAATAAATAACGCACTCAGAATAGTGCGGCCCGTCTGTAAGCATCTGTGGTCATCATGTTGACATGGTTGGCTGCTTTTCATTCACTTCGTTGTCACCTCCTCTGGACAGTTCTCCCGATGCCCTCTCTAAGGTTGCCCCTCCACCACTCCATCCTCTTTCCCTGCTTTATTGTTTTCCCAGCACTGACTGTCACCTGGACCTATCTGATTTAGTTCTCTGTCCACGTGTTCATACACTGCTCTCCCCTCCAGAACGTCAGCTCCACAAGAGCGAGAACTTCTGTCCGCATTGCTCACTACGATTCCCCAGGGTCTGGCACAGGATTAGCCACACAGTAGGAACTCAATAGATATTTGTCAAAATGATTAATGAGTGTCCAGCACATCGTCTCTGTTCCATACAAGCTATTTCTCTTCCATTCCCCAGGTCCATGGTAGAATCTAATCAATTAGAACCTTCTCACACACTAAGTGCCTGGCTCCACTGTGTGCCTGGCTCTGTAACGGGCACTAGAGACACAGACACAGAGTAGATGACATGTGTGGAGCTCACAGCCCAGAGCAGGAGACAGGTGGGTCAGCAGATATCCATGGTACTAGATGAGCAATGACGACAGGGACATATGGTTGGTAGGGTCAGGGTAATGGCCAGGGGTCACTGTGCCCAGCACTGTGAAGAATCCTCCTTTCACCGAATTTTCCCAGCTACCCTTACTCCACCTATCATACAGAAGTTGACTGAGGCAGCCTGCCCTGCCCAGCAGCTCTCTCCTCTCTCCCCTGCCAGGCAGCCATGTGCCTACCCTGAGGCTTGGGCTAATCATGATTATCCTGCTCCCTGATCCCAGACACTGGAGTTCCGAGCCTCCCTTGCAACTAGGAGATGACACGTGACAGAGTCCTAGCCAATGAGATGTAAGGAGAAGTCTGCGAGGGATGTTTCTGGAAAGGTTTTTCTTTCCTGATTAAAAAGAGAGATGCACAAGCTACACTCCTTGAGGCAGCCTTTGTTTTCCTTCCTGCTTTGCATGAGGGTGTATGCAGCAGCCAACTTGGGGCCATGAGGTGGCAATAAATGCCACCATGTTAAGGACAGCCTTAGGAAAGACTCTGGAGTGACATCACTCAGTGGCTATATAAAGCTGGGAAGGTTCACGTGTAAGACTTCACTTAATGTGAGATCATTCAATATTTCCAGTGCAAAAGCCCTGTGTCATAGAGTTGTAAGGAGCTGTTTCTAGGATATGGCTAACACGTGAGGGACTACATTTCCCAGCCTCCCTTGCGGCTACAGGTAGCCATGTGACCAGTTTCGCCAATAGAGTTTGGGAGGAAGTGATGCGGGTCACTTCTGGGCTAAGGCTTTTAAGAGTGGGAGGTCTTCATGCTCTCATTCCCTTTCTGTTCACCCTTGAGCAGGGGTTCTTAACTTGGGGTCCACGGACCTCCAACATGGCTGCAGACAGAATTCAAGGTCTGGGAACTTGGATGGGAAAGAAACTACATCTTTATTTTCACTAACATCTAACATCTAGCATTTCCTTCCATTAAGGAAGGAGGGAGCAAACCACAGGGGTAGCAGCATCCGTGATTCTGTCCCCAACAAAAATCCAGCTTTTCTCATATCACATTACAGCTGCACTTTGTTCATCTACTTTGAAATTACAGTATTTATGAGATCCACCCCTAGATCTTGTTATTTATTTATTTTTTTTGTCTTTTGTCTTTTTCCGTGTCCGGCAACGGATCGCAACCCTCAGTGTTGCCCCCGTACCGGACCGGGGACCGGCAACGGGATCGCAACCCTCGGCGTTGCCCCCGTACCGGACCGGGGACCGGCAACGGGATCGCCACCCTCGGCGTTGCCCCCGTGCCTCGCTCAGCCAGTGAGCGGGAACCGGTCTGTATGTGGGAACCGAACCCTCGGGCGGGAGCGCCGCCGCGCTTCCCAAGCGGCGCACTTATCCAGTGCGCCACCGGGCCGGCCCTAGATCTTGTTATTTAATATGTTAATAAAGAAGCACATAAACTCCTAGAAAAAAAGCACTTAAAATATTTTTGAATCTGTATGTCAATACAATTAGTTTCCCTTGTGATCCTACGCATTTTATTTTATGTATTTAAAAATATTATTCTGAGATGAGGTCCATAGGCTTCACCAGACTGCAAAAGGGGGATCCAGGGCACTAAAACAGTTAAGGGTCTTTGTCCTGGAAAATGGTGGAGGCATGAGATGCACAGAGCCCCAGTCACCAAATTTCCACAAACCACCCACAAACTAGCCACATTCACATTAGACTGTTACATGAGCAAGAAATACATTTCTATAGTGTTAAGCGATGGAAATTGTGAGCTTATTTGTTACTGTAGCCTGGACTACCTTCTCTGACCAATACACCATGTCGATTGATAATCCCATTACTCGCCGTTAGAGGCATCCTATAATATGAAAACCCAGAGACTCGCCCGGGGGAGGTGTCTGGTCACAGACTAAAAGTGGGAAGCAGAGATTCTAATGGCTCAGGACTCCCAATACCTACAGTTGTGCCACCTGGCACTGGCGCTCCACTCGCTCCAGGTGCTTTCATATCTCTGAGACAGGGCCTTCACCTGTGCCACGTAGAAAACTCCAGACTTTAGGGTGCTGGCTGGGAGGCGGAGGGTGGGTTCTCTGTAGGTAACATTATAGATTTTGAACTGGTAGGGAAAAGAGAGATGTTAGTACACCAGCTGGGGGGAGGGGGGCTCCCGTTCCCACCCTAGTTGCTGTCCTTAGCTGACCTCACGATGTTTAAGAGTCACCAGCCTTGGTATTTGGTTGTTGTCCCTATTCAGGCCATTGCTTGCCCCCTCCACAACAGTGACCAGAGTAGAAAGTGATGGGTCATGGCATAGGCTCCTCCACTAATTAGCCATATTATGTGACTCAGGCAAGTCAATTAACCTTTCTAAGTTTTAGTTTCCTCATCTGTAAAACAAAGGCAAGAGTCCCCACTACCACTTTCTGGCTGTGTGACCTAAAGTAAGTGACATAACCTCTCTGGACCTCAATGTCCTCTTCTGCAAAATGAGAGTAATAAAAGCGCCTACCTCCCAGGGTTCTTGTGAGGATTAAATGGGTTAATATAGGTAAGAAAAGGGCCAGTACACAGAAAGCATAGAGTGACCTTTCTGAAGCACTGATAGGGTCAACACATCCCTCTCTGTCCTTCATGGGCTCCCTGGCATCTCCTTGGTCAAGCCCAAGACCCTGCCCAATCTAGCCCATGCTGGGAAGGGACCTCCAAGGTCTATTGTTAAGTGAAGAGGGTAAGATGCAAATTAGTATGGGTTGTCTACTGCCTTTGACATTTCTTTTAAAAAAGGAGAAGCCACAGTGATCATGGCAGACAGACTCTAAGATCACTCACATGAAACTCATCTTGAATCACATCCTTGGGTCCTCTGTCTTTATGAGTGTGGGTGGGATTCATGACTTGTGTCTAACCAGTGGAATATGGCAATGGTGATGGGATGTGTAGGAGACTGCATGTCTGAGATTACATTATGTAAGAGCTTAATGTCCAACTTGCTAGGCAACTCTCTCTGCCCCAATGACTCTAAAAAGGCCCTAAGGGAAGGAACTTAGGGTGGCCTACAACCCACAGCCAGCAAGAAACTGAGGCTCTCAGTCCAACAGCCCACAAGAAACCAAATGCCACCTATATCATATGAGCTTGGAAACCGTCCTTCCCTGGTTGAGCCTCAGATGAAACCTCAGCCCCAGGCAACACCTCAGTTACAGCCTTGGGAGACTCGAAAGCAGAGGACCTAGTTAAGTTGTACCCAGACTCCTGGCTCACAGAAGCTGTGAGATAATAAATGGGTGCTGCTTAGAGCTGCTAAGTTTGTGGCAACATTATCATGCAGCAAGAGAAAACGAAGACAGTGATGAATGAACACACACACATTGGTGTGTGTGGGCATAAACCCTCTCTGGAAGGATACACCTGCCTCCAAGCCCCCTGTCCACTTGGCTCTTGCCTTCCTTTTACTGCTGTCAAGAGACGGGCAGTGGCGGTCAGTCTCTGGACAGAGGAACTGGATATTGGGGTCAGGACAGAAATATATTTCCATTCCAAGTCCTTTTGTACCATTCGAATTATTACTTCACGTAAACATTATTTTTATGAGGATATTTGAAAAAGTTCATGGAAAATTAGTATTCATTTTAATTCTATTTTTCTGCAAACTTTTTGAAGTATCCTTGTACCAAAAAATAAAAAGCTTTTAAAAATTGAAAAATGCAGTAAAAGCTGCATTCATGACAGATTCTGATGACAATGGACGGGCCCAAATCCTCTGCCGGTAACTACCCCCTCCACCTGGGGATCACACCCTTTGCTGGACCCTGTCCTTGTCCTCGGGCCCAGCAGCCTCTTCCCAGCTCCTGGCAGCTCCGTTTCTGCTCATGGGTTGGAAGCATGTCTGGGGAAATGATTTGGTGCACAGTGAGCCAAAGTGAGATTTTCACAACAAAGAAGCAAAGCCTCAGCAGGTTGCTGGAGAACTGAGGGCAGCTGGGGACTACGGTGGAGCTGAGGATGAGGTGTGAGCCGGGGAGAGATCAGGGGAGGGAAGGAACATTCTCACTCCCTTTCAGTCTTTCTTTCTTTCTAAATATGAATCAGCAAGAAGCAACAGCTGATTTATGTCACCAAAGGAATCTCACATCTTGGAAAGGAGCAGGGAATTGGGAGATGTTTTGCCAAGAAACAAAAGAGAAATCAGAGTTTCCAAGAACTGCTTGTGGCTGGTTTGTTTTTTAACAAGAAGGCCAGTTGTTCAGGAAACCACCTCTGGGAGAAATACCCAGGGCAGGAGAAACAGCTCAGGCTCTGGAGTCCCATCCCAGCAATACCCTTTACAGCTGTCTGACCCTGGGCAAGCTAGCTCACCTCAGCAAGCCTCAGTTTTCTCAGCTCTAAAATGGAGTCACAAAGATACCTTCCCACCTGCAGGGCTTTCACACTGATGACAGTGGGTTGTGCCTGGCACATAACAGGCACACAGAAGATGGTAACCATTATTTTCATGAGCACGGCATTCAAGGCCCTGTATGGACTTGTGACCTCATTCTCTGTATTTTCACTGTATACACTCCCACATTCCAGATCCCACATTTTCACAATCCTCAAACATTCCACAAATTTTCATACCTCCAGACCTTTTCTCATGTGGTTCCCTCTGTCTGTCTGGAGTACCCTTCTCTTTCTTCCCTATCTAGAAAACTCCTATGCATCCTTCAATGCCCAGGCCCAAACCCCTTCTCTATTATAGAGCTTTGCCTCAGAATCATCCAGGGGAACGAGTAGATCCATCCCTAAAATTTCATAGCAAGTTCCTAATATGTCTTTGTAGAATTTATCCCATGTGGTCTGAGACACAGCTGGGGTCTGCAATATTGGAGCAGACATGGCTGGACGCCCACCCAGCATCTGTGCCACTAGGTTCAGGTACCCACTGCTCAGGGAAGATAAACCCATCCCTGGCTCCAGGGTTAATCCTCATTGGTCTAAGCCAGTCATGGAAATCCCATTCCCTGGTCTTTGATTGGTTAGAGGGGACCAGCTCTGGCCAATGACTAAGTGCTTTAGGCTGAGCTCTGTCCTTGGGAAGGGAGAGAAGAGAAGCTGGACTTCATCTTTCTACTTCAGACCTGGCGTCCTGAGGCCTGGGGCAGCCCTGTGCACCTTCATGCCCACTGAGCGGTAGTCCAGGCATGCTGACCAATTTAATCCCATGGCTGGAGTCCGGCGCCAGCTCCTAAACCTGGCTGGCACTTTAGCCAGCCCAGTCCCTGCTTCCCCTGCCCGGGTTTCCTTTGGGGAGCCACCCACCCCTCTCCCATTTTCACTCCACCTGCAGCTCCAGAAGTGAGCATGTGACACAGCCCTGACCAGTCAGAGCACTCCACCAGCACCCTCTTCCCTCCCACAACCAGTGACTGACTTGGAGACTGGCACATGATTCAAGCCAGGCCAATGAACATCAGCCCAGGACTTTCACAGGGACTATCAGGAAAAAAAACTTTCCCACTATGGCTTTGGGATGAGACTTGGAGCTGCGAGGGGCACATTTGCCACTGCATGAGGGAACAGCCTGCCTAATAATGAAGCCGACACAATAAAGCAGGGCCAAGAGATAGACAGATTCCCGGAAACTGGATCCAGCTACACCTGAAGGTAGCTCTAGAAATAAGCAAATAACATGTCTTTGGACTGTATAGGTTATACCCCTCTCTACCCTCTAGACCATCCTCCAGACACTCAGTAGGCCTTGCACAGGCCCAGGACATGGGGAGATTTACTGACAGAAGCAAACCTATTATCTGTATACCGTCCACCTCTCCACCTCCCACCACCACTCTCTAGCCTTTGCTGTGTGAGCCCAGTTGCCCCATTCCTGCTCCATCCCTCCACCTTGGCCCAGTGTCAAGGAGGAAACCAGACCTGAGAAATATTAAATCAACACCCAGCCACCTCTCTGGCTTGGCCAGGAAGAGAGGAAGCAGTGCCAGAAGCCAGCGTGGGGGCTCAAGGTGACTGGTGCCTGCCCCCCCGCCAACCAAGGCCAGGCCAGCCTGGGTGCTGGAACACAAGGTATGGCACAGAGCAGGCCCTCGCAAACCTGAAGGAGAGGATTATAGACCAGTGTGTGGGACAGCAAGACAGCAGGGAATTTCCAAGGCCTGGGGCACCCAGGAGAAAATGAGGATGACATTTACAAGTGACATACTGTATGCCAAACAGGGCAGCTTGTCTGCACATATTTCATATTCTCAGCAGTCCTATGGGGTGGGTACTCTTATCCCCACGTTACAGATTAGGAAACTGAGGCACAAAGAGGTTACGTGACATGCCCAAGATCACACAACTGGCAAGTGGCAGAGCAGGTATTGAAACCCGGGTTGGTGGAACACTGGTGCCCGTGGAGTCCAGATGTCCCTTCAGTGGGAACGTGAGGAAAGTGGTGAGGGGGGAAAACATGGGTGGCAGGAAATGACCTTCCCTCCACCTGCAACTAAAGTAGAGGGGCCACGCCACCCATTGTGTAGACACCTGCTATTGCTTGCTTGATAGTTTCCTGTAGATCAACTACCCCTTTTTATACTTTTTATTTTTTTTTTCCTTTTCTTTTTTTTGATGGCTGGCCAGTGCGGGGATCTGAACCCTTGATCTTGGAGCTATCAGCACCACATTCTAACCAATTGAGTAATTGGCTCTCTCATTTTAAAGATGTCAGTACGTGTATTTAAAAAGAGCCACTACCACCATTGCGAATGGAAAGCAAGGGCCAGCCGCTGAGAGAATCACATATGAGTGAATGCAAGGAGAATGGAGCAACGGCAGAGACCACGGCTCAGCTAGTTTCCTCGGGGAAAGTTCTAAGTTTGCAGCCTCCTCTCTCTCCATTAAAAGAGGGGTTAATAAACAAATCAGCTCCACCAAGACTTCCTCCTGCACCAGCTGTCATCGAGGGCGACTGATGTTGGGTGACCATCTTGCTTTGGGATTCAGGTTTTTGAGGTGTGTTGTCAATGCGCCACCTACAACCTCATGTGTCCCCCCACTCTCCTTTGGGAAACACAGATGTGTCCCAGAGCCCTTCCAGAAGTGGTGAGCAGAAATAGGTCCCCTCATCTGCACACTGGGAATCGGGAATCCAGGAAATGAAGGGACTCGCCCAGGGTAGGGTCAGGTGAGAAGCTGTATTTCTAGGTCCCCAGATTTGCTGTGCAATCCCAGGGCTGCCTCCCAGGCTCCTGGCTCCGTAGTCCCAGTCTCTGCCCACCCATCCTGTTCCCAGGAGGTCACGGAGAAGCCCCACAGGGTGCACTCACATCTGTGGGGTCGTTTTCCCGTGAAATGTTGACCAGGTAGGTGAGGTCGTTGTACAGCATGCTTCCAGGAGGGTACGGGTTGCTCCATGTCAGGAGCAGCGTGTCAGAGACACTGGTGTGAACTGTGAGGTTTCCTGGAGCCCTGGGTTTCACTGTAGGAGAAACGGGGCCTGCATGAGGGGCTTGTCCAGGCGACAAGGGGGCACAGCCTGGCCCCAGCCTGCAGACCCCCAGCCATGTAGATTTAGTTGACAACACCGCCTTAGAACACTTACAGGGTACCACACGCCTTTAGAGCCGTAACAGAGAATGACAATCGTAATGCTGATGATAATGTCGCTAACATTTTACGTAGAGCTTTAGTATTTATTAACTACTTTTCTACAGCAAATGCAAAATGTATGAGCCAAAGTAACCCAAACTTCAGCTTTTCCCTTTCGTCCTTCACATTTTTGACCACATCTATGTACTATACTGAGATTTTTATTTTGATTCATCTGTTTTAAAACTTAATTGCTTCGAAGCAATCATACCCATGAGATCAGTATATAATATGCATTAAAATCAATACGCAAATGTTAAAATTAAAGTTCATTCACGGGTCAATTTAAATAACTCCCAGCCAACAGCGGTATGAGCAGGTCTTTAGGAATCACTGATGGAGTAGTGAAGACTGGGAGCTCTGTGAGAGACCTGGCTCTGAGTACTGCCTCTGCTGCTGAGTCACTGTGTGACCTGAGGCACGTTACTTGCCTTCTCTGAATTACAGTTTAATTAATTGCAAAGTGAGGATAAATAACTCTCTTCTGGAAATTGAGGCTCAGAGAGGCAATGTGACTTGCCTGAAGTCACACAGCAATGAGTGGCATTTTAAACTCCCATCACTACCCCCCAGCAAGCTCCTGGGGGACGCCTGGAGGGACCCCAGGTACCAGGATAAGGCCAGCCTGCCACGGTCCAGACCACCTGAAGAAGCGTCAGCTGACCAGGCAACAGAGGGTGCAAGGACTATTTCCAACTCACTTTTTGATCTGCAGCCTGATATCAGACATGCTCCATCTTAACACACCTTCCTGAGTACTTAAATTCAGGGGATGAAAACAGCTGAGCTGAAGGGAGCCTGATGTGTTATGGAGCCCAGCCCCAGAAAGGGGCAGAAACCCCATCAGGTTTGGGAAATGTAGGTGGCTTCCTCTGTGGCTTGGACCCCATGTCCCCTGCCCCAGAGCCCAGCCACCTGTGGGAACACCTGCACTCCTGTCCCGCCCACCCCGCCCCACTCACCATGGTTGCTGGGACTGAAGGAGCCTCTCCACAGCAGCTGCTGCCCAGCCCACAGGTCCAACGTATAGATGTCTGCTCCAACCAAGTCATCTATGATCATATTGCACACACATGCTGTGCCTTCACTGTTCTCAGGGACACACGTGTGGTTTCTGCAGGTATGGGGGCTGGGTTAGATGGTCATGTGTAGGCTGGCTGAGACCCACAGCTGTCCCCAGGACCTGCCTCAAGGAACCACTGCTCTTCCAGCTTCCTGACTGTGCTGCCATGAGGAACAGATCTGGGGCTTGGGTGTGGCCAGGGTGTGGTGGGGACAATGGACTAGCGTTGCTGCCCTTGCTGGCCACAGCCCTCACCACATGCACCGTGGACTCTCCTCTTGCCCCCCTGGCTGCAGACCCTGCTCCCAGGACCTAGCTCATCCCTGAAAACCAGGGAAAGGGATTAATCTGTGGCATTAAAGACTTTCTAACAACATAAGTGCATGTCCCAGTGCACCTTTGTGTAGCATAGTTTATGTACCCCAGTGTACAGCAGACCATGGCATGCTTTGGTGTGCTGCCTATGGGCATGCGCCCTGTGCACAGCAGTAGGGTCCCAATGTGCCACCTAAAACAGCCAACTCCGCATCTCCCAGGCTAGGCTAGACACAACCCGACTTTTTCTGTAAAAGGTCAGACAGTAAATATTTTGGGCTTAGAGGGTCATACGGTTTGTGTCACAACTACTCAATTCTGCTGATGTAGCACAAAAGCAGCCACACACACTAGGTAAATGAGTGAGCATGGCTGTGCTCCAATAAAAGTTTATTTGCAAAAATAGACAGTGGGCTGGATTTGGCCCAGGGACCATAGTTCGCAAATTCCTGGTCTAAGCCAATGTACAAAAGCACAGCCCCTCAGCCTAGTGTAATTGTGGAAGAGTGGAATACCACCTCTGTTAGTGTACCCGGTGTGCCCCAAGACTGTGTATCCTATGTACCCACTATAATAGAGCACCCTGTGCCCTATGGAAGAGCCCAGTGAACCACCTGGAACAACATACCCCGTTTGGTCCACCCATCATCACAATGAACTCCACTGCTAACACTGTACCCCCAACAGTGGTCTAGTCCAGCGGTTCTCAAAGTGTGGTCTGGGGGTCTGCTAGGTCAAACGATTTTCACAGTAATACTGAGAGGTTATTTGTCTTTTCACTCTTCCTCTCCCAAGTGCACAGTGGAGTTTTCCAGAGGCTACACCGTGTGTGAAGACGTCATTGCTCTGATGGCTTGTTGAATGTGTACTTGCATGTTGTGATTTACTATTTCTCAGTTTTAATTTCTAATTTGGTAAATATTGATTGATGTAAGCTACATTTTTAAGTGTGCAAAAGGGTCCTGAGACCAAAAAGTTTGAGAAGTGCTTGTCTACTCCAATCTTCCAGCCATATCCCTGCACCACTGTGACAATGTGCTCCACTGTATCTCACACACTGCTGCCCCGTGACATGGCCTCACCTCCAGTACCAGGTCCAATAAGCCACAGCAAACTGCATCGGTACCATGCACTCCAGTGCACCACCTGGACCAGGCTAGCTCCTGGGGCAAACCCTTTGGCCACAGCCTCCCTCAACCCCAGCTCCATTGCAGGCTTACTCGGAGATCACAAAATCCAGCTGGTAAAACAGGCGGAGCTCGGCACTGCAGTTGGTGGGACGGTCCATCTTCCACTCGCACGTGGAGATGTTGAAGTAGTCAGAGAAGCAGGTGGGCTCATGCAGGACTTTAATGCTCCCTGGGGAGACACAGGGATCCTCTGAGCAGCTGGAAACAGGCCAAGAGGACACACGCACCGAGGCAAATGGGAAACTAGCCCAGACAGGACTAGGGGGACCAGCATAACACAAGGAAACCATGGTCCCTAGCAAAGTCACAAGCCAATTCCCACAGGGATCCTGGAGCTTCCCAGCTGGGTGCAGGGCCCATCAGAGGGGGATGAACCAAATGCATCTGCATCTTGCACAAACTCAACTACTTGCCCTTGGCCAAAGTAAAGAAAAAATAAATAGCAGTTCGAGGAGAGCCACTCCAGCACAACGAGCATCTGCGTGTGGCAGTATGAGCTGGGGGCGCGCTGCTGTCCTCCTGCCCCCCATAAACTCCCCCGCTCTCTGCCCACTCTGTGCTCAGGAGGCTGACACCCTGGGTCTTCATCACTCAGGTGATCTTTTCCTCTGGCTTCCGGTCAGGTTTGGCCAACAGAAGAAAGGAAATGGAAGGGCAGGAGGAAATGTAGGGGGTATCAATCCTTTCAGCTCCCTACCAGCCAGTCAGTGGCTCTGTGGGGACTGGTCTGAGAGCTATCACCCTGGCTCGAGACCATCCAGCTCCTGACCCTCAGGCACCCTCTCGCTCCCATGCCATCCCCATCACAGCTGACATCGACTTGCATGTGTCTGACGGATAAAGGGCTTATCATGTTAAGGAGAGGCCCTAGATATGGAATAAATGTTCCAAGTGCACCCCATGTCCAAACAGAACTCCCCGTTCCCTGCCCCAAAACACCTGCTCCTCACGCAGCCTTCTGAATCTCAGAAATGACCACCATGCCCTTCCCAATTGCTCAGGTCAGAAATCATGGACTCATCCCTGACACTTCTCTCTCTCACCCGAACTCCACTCCGTCCCCAAATCTACCTTCCAGATGGATCCAGAAGCCTCTGATCTCCTCCACTGGTCCAAGCTCCCATGTCCTTCCTTCCAGCCCCCAGCTTCTGCCCTGGTCCTTTCTCCGCTCAGCACTTTCTAACAATCTTTGGTAAATTCAATAAGGACCGTTTGTCACTGGCTATCTCCTCCCACTAAGATGTCATCTCTGCAAGGCCAGGGACCTTTGTTTTGACATATCCCAGGGCCCTGGCACACAGTTAATAGTCAATAAATAAATGATTGAGATGTGGTGACTTACCAGAGCCTGAAACCCACATCAGGATCAGGCAGCCCACAGGGAACAGGAGCCCGGAGCAAAGCCACCCCATTGGGAGATGCCAAGATACCTGCTGAGAGAAAGCGAATAGGTTAGTGCTGACCTCTTTTATAAGGACACGAATCCCATTCATGATGGTGGAGCCCTCGTGACTTAGTCATCTCCCCAAAGGCCCCCGCTCTTAATACCATCACAGTGGGGATTAAGTTTCAACATATAAATTTAGCAGGGGACCCGTTTAGACCATAGCACCAGTTTATCTCATTAAGGAAAATGCTCAGAAGCAGAATCCCATGGAGCTGGAAGTGTGCACTTTTCCCCCAACACTCCTGACATATAATGTCAAATAAAGCAATGCACCAGTTACATTCCCCAGCAATGCTAAGAAGGCGCGTCCCTGCTCCCTGCTTGGGTCTCTTTCTTGGAGTCTTATTCGAAAAGGTAGCTCCTAGTCCTTATTCTGCTAGTTAGTACCTGTGTGCTGTTATGAGAGTTTCTCCATCTTTCAGAGCTCTGGCTTCCTCTGCTAGGGCATGGGAATGACCCCGAGATTACCCTCGCGGTTGTACTGCAGAGAAGGAGGTGCTGTGCCTGATGGACTGTGCAGTGTCTGGGCGCAGTGAGGGCTCAGCACCACATCAGGAGCCCGGGGCCCCTGCTGGAAGCTCTCCAATGACTCAGGCCCACCAGAAGCAGCTGGGCCCCGCCTCCCATGCCACCTGGGCCCCAGCACCTGTGCATCCCCCCCTGCCCCCACACTTCATTTCCTGCTGCTCCCCAAACACACCAAACTCATTCCCCCTCCACGCCGTCCCTCTCACATGCCCTCTACCTGGAGGGACCCTCCCTTCCTCCTTTTCATATTCTTGCTCACTCTATCTCTCATATATTTACAGATACTCCTGGATTCACAATGGAGTCATGTCCCGATAAACTCATCATTGTCGACTGAAAATATGGTAAGTTGAAACCCATCATGTTATGTCCCGATAAACCCATTGTAAAGTTGAAAAATCCTAAGTTGAATCCAGGTCAGGGACCGTCTGAATAAGTGACACATAAACACACACCTATCTCCATAATGAATAGATTAACCCCTAATACTTCAGTGTGTATTTCAGAAAAACAAGGACATTCTCCTAAGTAAGCACAACCATGAAAACCAGGAAATGAACACTGATGTATTACTGCCATCTAGTCCACAGGCCCTACTGACATTTTGCTAATTGCTTCAATAATGCCCTTTATAAACCCAGGACCCAACCCAGGACCATTCACTGCACCTGATCATCATGCCATCCTACTGCCCAGGGCGAAGCCTCTAAATACTATTCTACACGGAAAGGAACCAGAGCTCCTTAGAGAAATGGCTGACTCCAGGACAGGGGAAAGTACCGGATAAGCCTGGAATTCTTGTTCCAGAGAGTAAGGAAGTGCTCAGAGAATGATGGGGACATGTCAAAAAAGACACAGGAGCTGGCTTGAACTGCCCAAAATGGGCACAATTTGAGTATCAAAATTAAGATTATAGTAACCAGTTGTAGCCCTTGGAGTTAAAGTCCAGGAGTCCGTAGTGAGATAGATCAATACATGCAGGAGAAGGGAAAGCTCTATTTTGCCATGACATCCTCAAAGTATCTCCCTGAAACAACTCATGTGATAAAGTTTAGAAACCTGGCAGACACCATCTTTACCAAAGGATCAGAGCAAAGCCAACCACCAGGAACAGGACAACCCAATGTCACGAGCTCTCTGACACAGCACCCTGAGGATAGTGCCCCACTTTGCCGAAGTTCCTGCCGAAAACGTAGAAGGCACGTGGAAACATCAACCAAACCTAAATCGAGGGACAGGCTACAAGGGACCTTGCCTATTCTCTGCAGAAAGAGTCATGGGTGCCAAAGACAAGGAGAGTGTGGGAGAACTGTTCCTTCTTTAATTTTCATTCCGGGGCCAGGACTCGTCTTGGTCACCGCTGAGTCCCTAGTATCTACGACGGTATCTGGCATATAGCATGTGCTTGGTAACTGTTGAATAAATTCATTTTGGACCTGATGTGGGGCCCCTCATGGGCTCAGCATAAGCTGGAAAGCTCTCCCTGGAAGGAGACTCAGTATCCACTCAAAGACCAACTCGGCTTCCTTGCTGAGAGTTGCACAGAAGCTCAAGGAGGGGTGGGAGGGGGTGGGGGGTCCCAGGCGCTGGTTTCCTCTGCAAAGTTCTGGTAACTTTCACTCTCACAAGTTCATAGGTGCCCACAGTATCCTGTGGCAGAGATGGCAAAGGTGTCACTTTAGCCCCAACTGTGAATAAGAGAAAAAGAGAGGCCAAGATGCCTGTCCAAGGTCACGCGGCAGAAAGACTTTCATGGTAACATACTCCAAAGGGGGATGTGGTAACCAAGCAACCCAGTCTGGGTCTAATTAAATATCACATCACACTGTCAGGATTGTTATCTTTGATCAGACATACGCGCATAGGCATACATCCGTGCGCACACACACGCACACCAGCTAGCTTCTCAGGGACGTGTAGGTGCTGCATTTCAGGGGAAACTATGGCACAGATGCAGTGAGAGAAGAGCCCATATGCACACCAGAGGAAACAAAGGACAAAGATGCAGATGAGTGAGGAGTTAGAAAGAATACTTGCCAGGTGATCATAGTCAAGCATGTGGCAAGAGATAATTTCAAGTTTGCACTCCAAATTATAGGATTTCTGACATGTTAGAGTTGGAAGGGATGAGAGAAGAGCCCATATGCACACCAGAGGAAACAAAGGACAAAGATGCAGATGAGTGAGGAATTAGAAAGAATACTTGCCAGGTGATCATAGTCAAGCATGTGGCAAGAGATAATTTCAAGTTTGCACTCCAAATTATAGGATTTCTGACGTGTTAGAGTTGGAAGGGGTTTCAGGGGCCACCTGCTTAGTTCAACTGCCAACCTGGAGAAGGATGCCCTGCAAATACTCCATCTCTGACATGTTGCCTAGCAGTTTCTGCTTGCACTCCGGCATGGATGGGGCACTCACTCCCAGTCATGGTTGAGCAGAGCCTGACTATTGTAAACAGCTTCCTTATGTTGATCCAAGGCTTTGTGCAAACAAAATCCTGCTTGTCCAGCACATATGTTGTGCTGGACACTTTGCTAAGTGCTTCTGAAATCTACTTTATCAAATCTGCCCAAGAGTCTTGCAAGACGTGTTGTCATTCCCACTTACCAGCTAAGGAAACTGAGGCCAGAGAGGTCAAATAACTTGCTTGCCAGATCCCACGGCTGGCAAGGGGGCAGAGCTAGAATCAGAACCCAGGTCTGTCTGCTTCTGAGCCCAAGGTGCATTCCAATATATCAGTTCCTTCGACTTCTCCTAGAAGCATGGGCTGAACCCAATAAGATGAAATGAAATGAGCCGAGAAGAGATGGCTATCCTGCTTGTCAATCTCAAACATCAATAAACCACAGGACCAGAGAGCCTGACTGAGCAGCAGCAAAGACCCGGGTATTTTATTGTCTGCAATCTCCCTTCGAGCCAATGGTGAGGCAGCAGCTTAAAAAAAAAAAAAAAAAAAAAAAAAGCCACCTGAGGTCACATTAACAAAGGTCTGACATCCAGGACAGGGGATGTAATGGTGCCCAACTGCACGTGCACATCTCTTTGGAAGGAATACTGCTGTAATGACACCCAATCCCAGAGGGCCTAGAAAGTCTGCCAAAAATACCCAGTCCTCATACATCCTGCAGCCTCATCACTCACTCAGTGAACACACCATTTACCATGTGCCGAGTTTCCTTTTAATCATTTGACATATATTAATTCGTTTAATACTCAAAACAGCCCTATGAAACAGTTTTCTCCCATTTTTCAGATGAGAAAACCAAGGCACAGAAAGGTTAAGTGATTTACCTGGGGTTGCACAGCTGTGATAGTCTTGGGATCTGAACCCAGCACTCAGGCTCCAGAGCCTGGGCTCCTAACCACCATCTCTGCCTAGGATCCAGAGTCTTTAATGTTGGGGGATCACTGGCCCATCTGAGCACCTGATGTAAACTCCAAACCTTCCTTCTAGCAAAGTGCACATATTTAATTTTGCATTCCATTTTAGAGGTTCACAGCTCCCCCAAAGCTCAAGTGAAGACTCCACATCAAAGGCTCCTTCTCTAGGCAATGAGCAGCTTTTGATAGTCTTTGAGCAGAGGCATGGCACATTTTTCAAAAACCCATTCTGGGGCTGAGAGAAGCTTGGGGGGTGGGGCAGTTAGCTGTCCCTGCAGACCTGGGTAACCCTGTCCCTTCATGCTGCAGCCAGAGTCATTTTTAAATCGGAAACGAGGCCATGAGCTGCCTGCCCCTGCCACTCAACGGCCTCCAGCTCCTGAAGAGCTTCTTCACCAGGGGCTACAGATCCCCAAGGGGTCCAGGGCTCATCAAAGAGGGAGCATCTGTGATTCAGAATAAAATCCAGACCCCCGGTGACAAAAGCCAATCCCAAAAGGGTAACTCCATTTATGGAGTTAACTCCAGTTATGTAACGTTCTTGAAATCACAAAATTGTCGAAATGGAAAACAGATTAGTGGTTACCACAGGGCAAGGCGGGGTGGGGGCAGGAAGGGAGTTGGTTGTGGCTATAAAAGGTCAGCACAAGGATCCTGGCGATGACGGAACTGTGGTGGTGATACACAAACCTTTGCATGTTGCACAGAGCTGAATATATGCACACATGCAAAGTCTACAGTAACTCAGGGGAAATGGGAATGATATTCCAAGGTAATGTATCAGTGGAGTGTATCAATGTCAACATCCTGGTTGTGATACTGTGCTATAGATTTGTAGGATATGACCTTCGAGGGAAACAGAGTATAGGGGATCTCTCTGTATTATTTCTTAGGACTGCATGTGAATCTATAAATATAGGAAAATAAAAAGTTTAATTTAAGGGCCTGCCTGGTGGCGCAC